TCTGAATTCGCTATGATCGGTGCATCACTAATTAAAATACTAAGTAAAAGGCCTCAAATTTGAAGTATAATCTGGGATGTCTTTTTCTATCAATTCTTCAATAGGTAGATCTTGTCTTTCATAAAGACCGAGGTCAGGGATCTTGGGCCTAAAAAGGTTGGTGATCACTGGTTTAAGATCTATATATCCATCTATCTAACCCAGGGCTGTCCAAACTCGGTCCTGGAGGGCCGGTGTCCTGCAGATTTTAGCTCCAACTTGCCTCAACACATCTGACTGGAAGTTTCTATGCCTAGTAAGAGCTTGATTAGCTGGTTCAGGTATGTTTAATTAGGGTTGAAGCTAAAGTTTGGACAGCCCTGATCTAAACATTAAAGGTGGGGTAAGTGATTTCTGGTAGCCAATGTTGATATTTCAAATCACCAAAACAAACACGCCCCTACCCTAAAAGGGTCTCGCCCCTATTTTGATAGCTTCGCCCCACACATACATACGCAACCCAGGCAATGATTATGGCGGAATCTGCTGTGCCAGCCAGCCGAGGTATGATGTCATCAGTAAGTGAATGCAATGTGTTACTATGGTAATACCGTTCTAATGTGTTTTGGTAGTACTGTGTGTTTTAACAGCATATATTAGTTCTGTGAAAAAAAGCGAAACCAATGTTACTCACCTATCGAGAAGAAACAAAGCAACCTCGGCATCTGATCGCACTGGAAAGCTGATCCGATATTTACACGGGATCCTACTTGCCTTATCGTAAACCTTTTTTTCCCGCAGACATTTTCCTCTGTTTTTTTTTTTTTTTAATCCGCCAGCTCTATCTTTCTGTCCTCGCTTGGCTCGGCTAATGTACGTCCGGTGCACTGAGCGCTCTCTCTCCTCCGCATCCTGAGTAGACACGCCCCTTACTGCTGATTGGCTACAAGTTTGTTTTGGTACTCGGCCCGACTCAGTTTTCTAAAGGGTTTTTGAAAAAAGACATACCCCACCTTTAAATTAATCTGTAATGAAACTACGTATGGTTCCTCAGGTGCTGTCATTACACTGGGTTCTCCATTTTACAGACTTAATATGAAAAAAAAAGTTTAATGAGATTTTATGTCGTCATGAAGCAGTGTAGTATTCAACTTTAACTATATGAAGGTTATTGTGAGCTAATCCGTAATAATTTAATCCTGTAATAATTTAGATGATTCCTTTCAGCAAACTGAGAGCAAATCAGCTCAGAGTAGTGTGAGTGTATGATTCATGCGAGGTGTGTCCTACAATATGTGAATCTTCAGGTCTGTCTGGAGCTTATATTTGCTGTTCTGAATCCTTTTTTTCCACTGCAGCACTGCTGACGTTTGCATTTCCTAACCTGTATGACTGACTATCATCTGTGGAACATAAAAAATATATATATTTAGAAACATTTCTGTGTTTTGTTTTTTGGTCCATGCAATGAAAGTCAACTGGCACGGAAATGGTTTGGTTAATAGCATTCTTTAAATTACGTTATCTTTTTTTCTTAATCTATTTCACTTTCATTTGGAACGACCCTTTGTGTGGCGTCCCCTTCACAGGAGCAAAAATGGTGTTTGGAATTTGCTCTTTGAGTTACAAATTGGGTTGATTCAACTAAAACCAAAGTGTTGTTTTGTAACCGATAGCCTCAAATACGTTTAGTTTAATCAAATTGCAGTTCAATCACTTCATTGTTACTGTCGCAATAAATTAAGCCTGCTTTCTGGAATACCCTCCAGGAGGGCACTAAATCCCTAACAAATTATGACTATGACTTTGTAGTTGTAGCCTCCCCTGTGTCCTCAGAATATCCTGTGGTCTATGTATATCATGTTTTGTTAACTTTGGACATTGCAGTCAGGAGATTCAAGTCAATTTGTGACTTAAATCGCTTTGATAAAATCAATAACTTTTTGCCAGCATTGTCCCTAGCTACTATGCGCAAAATTTGGTGAAGATCAGATCAAGGGCCTAGGAGGAGTTTGAAAAAGTATGATTTTCAGTAAATTCAAAATGGCTGAATAATTTTAAAGACGGAAATGTAATCTGAGATTACTGGTAGGATATTTGTTAAGGCTTGACTCAAGGATTCAGGGGAAAAACAAATTGTTACTAGCCTTTAGGATTCCACAGTTATGATCCAAAACTGCCTTAGAGCGCTGACAGCTATACGTTTTTTTTTGTAGGGCAACCTGGAAGTTAGCGTCACCCTGGTTCCCTTGATAAAAACCCAATAAGATGTTTCCATTTGAATTATTGCATAAAATTTGTTTTTGTGGCCAGCAAAAGTTCATGATTCTTACATGTTTTGTTCATCATGATAATCTTCACAAATGAAAACAGCTTTTATGAACTTTGGTGTCTATACAATTGGCTATAAACAAACTAGAAACTACAGTACGATCAGAAGACTACTACAGTGTCACCATCTCTAATCTTTCAACAATTCTTAGTCTTTTTTTTTTTTTTTAATTCCCTTTTGAGTTAGAATAGTTTGCAAGTGCACAATTATAAACACAAATGAGGCTGTAAATGCGGACTAGTGAGCAGAGTTTCAATGTCCCAACAACCTCTGTATTCCCATCTAACCACTTGTTATCAAACACCTTTTTGCATGACACATAAAAGAATAAATCACGACTAGGTTATTCAGAAAAATGTTGTGCCATAGAACAATGCTTGAGAATATCTTGAGCTTGTGTTAAAGGGATAGTTCACCCCAAAATGAAAATTTTATGTTTATCTGCTTACCCCCAGGGCATCCAAGACGTATCCAAATTAACAATCCAGTTAGACAAATCGAAATTAAACCCTGCAGCTCGTGACGACACATTGATGTCATAAGACACGAAAAGATCGGTTTGTGCCAGAAACCGAACAGTATTTATATAATTTTTTACCTCTAATACACTACTATAGGCCCTTTCGAACCGCTTTAGTTCCAGAACTAAACGTACGGTACTAAAGTACTGGGACGATTTTGCGCGAACTATTTCCCAGTACCATTTAAAGGGTTGCATTCGCACCGACAGTGTGTACTAAGAAGTGATGTAAGCCGGTCGACAGCGACGTCATTTGTGCGCGGCGTTCAACAACAGAAACAAAGAAGAACAACATTAACAACAGGAGGATGGAGGACGCTGTGATCGGAGTAGTGTGTTTGTTGTGTCTCGCGGGTTTCACAAGAATGGACATGGAATGTCGACGTATACGTAAAGCGATTGAAAGAACGGAAAGGAGGACTAAGAATCTCCAACGACAACTGGCAGTGCTACATTTGGTACAAGTGCCTGCACTTAAGCGTCCGTCCATCTATCGCTGTTCTCCATTCTTGCGAAATAAGTTGACATGCTTAAAGTATGTTTACGCGGCGTTTTAAATCATGGCGGGTGGGGGGGTTTTCATACGTGTTTGGCCAATCAATGCCTACTTAACGTCACGATTAGTACCAGTTGTGCTGGTTAGACCCTGCTCCGGAGTAGGAGCTAATTTGGTTCTCGAAAAAGGCAGTCCGGTACTAAAAATCGCTCCCAGTTCCGGCGGTGCGAACACGCCGAAAAGTGGGTAGTTCCACAATTAGTTCTGGTACTATGAAAAGGTTCCTGCGGTGCGAAAGGCCCTTATGTCCAACTGCCTTTGAGCGCGCGCAGGCATCTGGTGCGTGAGGTGTGTACGCGCTCTGGCGTAGTTTACGCAAGCGCCGGAAGTGATCTCTTGCGCATATACATCACTCATTATTTACACAGTGCACAGTCATTGTAGGTACGACGGCTAATCAAAATGGTACTTACTTGCGCTTATCCGGATTGTTCAAACCGACTTAAAACTAAAAGATTACGTTCTCTCGCGCGAACTCATTCGGGCGTGAGTTTCCACGTATTCCCAACTTCTGAGCCTGCTTGCCTGAAGTTATGGTTGATTGCTCTTCGGCTGGATATCAACACACCCATTAACGTAAACTACGCCAGAGCGCGTACACACCTCACGCACCGGATGCCGTGCGCGCGCTCAAAGACAGTTGGACATAGTGGTGTATTAGAGGTAAAAAAAAATATATAAACACTGTTCAGTTTCTGGCACAAACCGATCGTTTCATGTTTTAGGACATCAATGTGTCGTCACGAGCCGCAGGGTTTAATTTGGATTTGCCTGTGCATGTTTTTTTTACTCTCATAGATTTTGTTATCATTGCCATGCATTATACGACTGATAGACTGCAACGGTTGTACTTAATCATCATGTGTTCTACTGAAGAAACAAAGTCACCTATATCCTGCCCTGGGGGTAAGCAGATAAACATCAAATTTTCATTTTTGGGTGAACTATGCCTTTAACCACAGAACTTTTTCCGCCACTTGGCCAAAAAAAAAAAAACTTTTAAAAAACCCCCACTGACTTCAGACCTATGAAGCTGGAAGTGCAAAACTACTAGTTTCCGGGTTTTGACCTACAAAAATATTTAATCCTTGCAGCTCTCTATAGCGCCACCTAGTGTCACACTGATGTGTTTCTGTGAGCCAGAGCAGATGCACATGATTGTGACCATCCTGCCATGTTTGTGGTTTCTAAAATTTACAGCCTGTACACTTTTAGGGCAAAATAAAAAAAGAGAAGAGGAGGAAGAAGAAAATCAGTTCAAACTGAAATGGGTTCCAGCACCTTTGATATGTGGACCCCAAAAAAAAGGTGCATTACACCCAATACCTGCATGGTAATTGTGTTTGCATGGCTACTGGTGACTAAAATCTAAAACAAGTAGCCTTAAACTCACTTTCCGTGGATAGAATCCAAGGAAAGTGAAGTTCTCGGTTTCTGCCATTACGATTGAGACAGCCAGCATCACAAGGCAAGCGATGACATCCTTTATTGCCACTGATTAATTTATTTACAAAACAAATGAAAAATTCAGTGTAACATTAGCGTTAGATGAAAATGTACAGGGTCATTTAACAATCCATTTTTAGTTAACCATGTACATTGTTATTAATGCATTTAATGAGTTTGAACTTTACGCAGACTCCACTAGGCCAGATGGGAAATGCATAGTGGTACAAATGACAAAATATTTTGTGTTCTTACATTTTACAGTGTAACATACAATTCTATATTGACTAAAGACATGTTTTATATTACTTATAAATATGTGGATTTAACTACTATATGGCTATATATTTTATGTATTTGAAGCAACTGATAATTACAGTGTTTATTTCCACTAGCTACCTACAGGAAAGTGTTTATACAAGTTGTCTCAAGTCATGCCATATATAGTTGTTCTTCTTCATTTTGATTCTTAATGTCAAGATCTCAAGAATGCAGAAAGTGTTATCTAAGAGGTTTGTTACTGCTCCAATACTTCAACAAAGTTCAGCGTCACTTCACCTGTAGGAGACTGGCTGGCCAAACTTTTGAGAATTGCAATAGAGTCTTGGAAGGTCTTGACCTCTTCTATCTGCGACTCAACCCAGGGGATAGATATCTGGAGAAAGCAAAAGAAAATTAAAAGAATAGTGCACCAATAGTGCAAAAACTCTCATTCATGCTTCTGTTCCATTCAAAACACTCAAATACGTATGTTGCAACACAAATGGTCTCAACATGCAAGATCTCAAAGTGGCAAGTTTTAGACAGCTGCTAAAGTAGCAAAGGTTGCATCCACTTACAGCACAAATGTAGCATTTGATCCATATACAAAAGATATTGCTGCATTGACATTAGGTCTGTACCTTAATGATGATGTGTTTATCATCAATGTTATCTCCATCATACAGCTCTTCTCCAAAACACAGCGTGATCTCACTTTGAGGTTGTTTTCCTCCACTGCGGAAAGAATCCAACTCTGAGAGGAACAAAGAAACTTTCAATTAATGCTGTAATCATTTCAAAACTCATGTTTCTAATTTCAACTGTAGGTGTGAAGATCATTTAGTTAACTTTTAAACTGTTTGTCGTTCCTTACCACAGTCGCCTTCTATCATGGTAAGGGCACAAATCAAATGATTCTGCCGACTTCAATATGTATCAATCACTATTCTCAACTTTTTTTTTTACAATTTCCACACAATTATGCAAACACTAAATTTTACCAAAACAAACTCAGCAGCACTTCAGACACATGCAAACTGCTAAAAACTATAAACTTGTCATAAACCCAACCACTGACCTGACAGCATTGCATGTTGCCTTTATTACATTTAGGCCGATATAAAGCAAATATACTGTGTATGATATTACACAATTTAATGTAGACAGCAAATACATATCCAAAAAACACATCTATAATTGCTGAAATTAAATTCATATTTATTTTACATAAGATGTACTAAATAATAAATAAAAATATATTAAAAATCATTTGAACAATAAAAAATTTTATCCGTAAAATAAACAGATTTATACCTCAGATGGCAACTTCTTGATTCTGTAATCTTACTATAGTATTTTTCACAAATAAAGAAATTGTTAAAAATATGAATAAAAAGGAATTTATCACTGTAATCAATGGTGCACTCAGACATCATCCAATCATCCATCATCCGTTAAAAACACGGTACACACGTTTTTATACAGTCTACAAATGCATACTTCAGAGCATCTCACAGCTGGATTTGCCATAGTTTGCAAGGTTTGTGCATTTAAATGTTTATTAGAAATTCAAAGACTTGTTTAAATGATAGAAATGCATATTTGCTGAATGCTGACTGTAGATAATTAAGTAATATGTGACCCTGGACCACAAAACCAGTCATAAGGGTCAATTTTTTTGAAATTGAGATTTATACATCATCTGAAAGCTGAATAAATAAGCTTTCCATTGATGTATGGTTTGTTAGGACAATAGGACAATATTTGGCTGAGATACAACTATTTGAACATCTGGAATCTGACGGTGGAAAAAAATCTAAATACAGAGAAAATCGCCTTTAAAGGGTTAGTTCACCCAAAAATTTAAATTAGGCTGTGTTTTACTCACCCCCGATGCATCCTAGGTGTATATGACTTTCTTCTTTCAGACGAATCCAGTCGGAGTTATATTAAAAATTGTCTTTGATCTTTCAAGCTCTATCGTTGTACTCAGCGGGTGTTGCATTGCTTCTGTCCAAAAGACGTGAAATAAAAAGCACCCTTCCAAAAAAACAAGTGTCTCACACGGCTCCGAGGGGTGAACAAAGGCCTCCTGTAGCGAATCGATGCGTTTTTGTAAGAAAAATATCCATATTCAAAACGTAATAATCACTTGAATCTAGCTAATTTTTAAAAGACAATTTTTAATATAACTCCGACTGGATTCGTCTGAAAGAAGAAAGTCATATACACCTAGGATGCATCGGGGGTGAGTAAAACACAGCCTCATTTTTATTTTGGGGTGAACTAACCCTTTAAAGTCCCCCTGAAATCAAAATTAAAGTATCAATAGTCTTAAGGTTATTTATAAGGCAGTGTGCTCCAAAACAGTGACAAAATTCGCATTTAGAAGATATAAGCATTCAAAGCTTTCAGTTCGTCACTTCCGCCAAAACGATTTGTTTGACGTCACATCATACTTCAGCTTCTCATCAAAATTTCTGTCCAATCAAATGCTCTCTAGAATCCGAAGCGCCCGCCCCCTACACTATAAAATAGACGCTGAAGCCGTGGCTGAAATCGGTCACTTGTCCACAGAATTAGTATTTTCTGTACAGTGAATGGCACGTAGTGCACTATATAGGGGACAGGGAGCGATTCAAACAGTGTATATATGCTTTCCATTGAGCAAAAAAAGAAGACTGGTTTCAAGCTGTGTCACGCTAACCACCGCACCGCACACACACTCTGCTCCGGTCCAGAGACACAATAGCACGGAGCGGATCACATGCGCGAGTCGGCGCAGACCACAAAATGTATCGGAGCTATTTGAATTCTACACAGAATGCTATATTTTATAGCAATATGGATGAGATTGTGGCTGGCATACCCTGTCAAATGCGGCTTTACGGAGCCCAACGGCTCTGAGTCTGAATGGCTCTAGCCCAAGCTGTGATATAAACAAATGCTATTGGCTATTTTAAAAAGGCCGGGGCTGCTTGATATGTCCCGCCCTGTCTTCCTGTTTCAGTTAAAATGACGTCAACACATAGAGTAAAGCTGCGTTTCTAAGCATTTCAGGGGACCTTTAAGATATGTGATCATAAGATATGTGATTTATAGACTCATGCTTAACATTTAAATTAAGATGAATTGCATGTCATATGATGCCTAACATGCAATCGCCAGAAGTTCAAAGCTAAACGTAAGCCATAAACAAACTACACCACGGTCACGTGACTTCAATATCACTACCTTTAAGCCTCAACAACTCTTTCTGTCTTTTCTGAAAAATATTTTCCCTGAGCGTGATAGCATGGTTATATGTTTTTAAGCATTTCAGGGGACCTTTAAAGCTGTCCAAATGAAGTTCTTAGCAATGCATATTACTAATCAAAAATGAAGTTTTGATATATTTACGGTAGGAAATTTACTAAATATCTTCATGGAACATGATCTTTACTTAATACCCTAATGATTTTTGGCATAAAAGAAAAATCGATCATTTTGACCCATACAATGTTTTTTTGGCTATTGCTACAAATATACCCAAGCGACTTAAGACTGGTTTTGTGGTCCAGGGTCACATATAGCGTTTGCCTTTCTATTAATAATAATAGAAGTATAATAGCAAATGCCATTATACTTTTTGTATATGGTTTACTTTCTTTGTTTAACAGTTCTGTGTAATAATTTAATAGGCAATTCAACAGAGACAGTACACTAATGAAGAATGACATTCTCAGTGTTGTAAAAATAAAAGTCCCACTTCCGACACAATGGCCAAACAGAAAAATGCATTGGTCGATGCGATAATTAAAAATTGCAGATACATCGGTGAACCACTATTACTACGTAACTGACGCCTTTTAAATTAACATTTATGCTAAAGAAGTATAAGGAGCGTAGAAATTTGAATGACCAGTTTTATTTATACAGTGCACATAATATGCTTGTGAAACACTTACCCTGTTTGAATATATCCTTGCTGAACAGCTGGGTGGGCTCGCCTGCTCTCTCCATTTTACAGGGTCCTGTGGTGGTGCTATGTGGTCCTCTCCAGAAGACCCGTCCCTGACAGAAGCGCTTGGCATAGATGGCTCCTCCTGTCAAGGTCAGGACTACTCCACTCTCCATGAAGGGCAGCAATTTGTTAAGAGCGGTCAAACGTGGGGCGAGGCTGGGGTCAGAGGAGCTCATGTCTGATGGGGGGTCTGGGAGAGGGATTCGATGGAAGCCAGCGCCGTTTAGAGACGGTGGAGATGGAGGGACAGGTGAGGGAGGCAGGTAAGCGATCCGAACATCATTACCCATTACTTCTCGCCGCAGAACCTCCTGACCAATGTAGAGCACGGTTATGTGGAAAGAGTGCAGCACTGAAAGAACAAAAGAGTTTTAGGAAACCATTTGGCAATAGCTAGATTAGATTTTTTCTAATCAATAAATAAAATGTGACCTGTGCTGGCAAAATGAGTCACAATGAGCAAATTTTCAAAAATGAGTTATTTTTATGATGCATGATTTGTTGGAATCAGACGAAAAAAATGACTGAGCTACACCTGTTTGAAGTCGATAGAGTCAGCAAAGTCAATTTTGAGAAAAACGAGTTTCTGAAGGTTCCAAAGCAAAATCACCTACATCGTTGTGTCTTTTCCTCCAGTTATTTTCTTAATAATAATTACTATATTAATAATCACAGTATAGCTATTTTTTATTTTATCTTTGTTTTTATAAATAAGAACAGATGCAAAAATAATACAGTAGAACAAATATAAGAAAGAAACAAATAATGCATTACCTTTTTCAGTTTACATATAAACAAAAGCATTCAAGTAAGAAAAACAAATAGTTACCTTTAGTCTGTTAATTACAAATAAATTGATTATTAAAACTACAAAAGCAGTTCAATCAAGAGCAGCAAGTGATTCCCTCATTTCTTTTATTGTTAGATTAACATTAATGAGGCTGCCTATATTAAGACCTACTGTAATGCACGGATCTAACATAATGTTACACATCAGATGTTTTTCCCCAACAGTTCCCCAAATGTTCACTTAAACGGGTCATATGATGTTGCTAAAAAGAACATAATTTTGTGTATTTGGTGTAATGAAATGTGTTTATGCGGTTTAAGTTTCAAAAAACACATTATTTTCCACATACTGTACATTATTGTTGCTCCTCTATGCCCCGCCTTTCTGAAACACGTAGATTTTTACAAAGCTCATCGGTCTGAAATGTGAGGTGTGCTCTGATTGGCCAGCTATCCAGTGCATTGTGATTGGCCGAATACCTCAAGCGTGTGACGGAAATGTTACGCCCCTTACCGTACTGCGATGCTCTGTCCGGCCGGAGCGACGAGACAAAAACATTAAAACCCATTATAAACGAAGCATTTGTTGCATCCAGTGGGGACATAATTACGGAGTATTATGACTTATACCGTCTTTTTAAGCGCTGCATGGTGCCGAGTGAGCGGCGGCCAGTGGGCTTGCGGCAACCACATGTGACGACCCCGGGCTGGACTCCGCTTCGTCCACGATAAAAGCCGATCCGGCGATCCACAGCGTGAAGTTGATGTATTTCCTCAGCGACCAGAACGGATCAGCTCCAGGCATGACGAAGTGGATATCATCCTCATTTGGAAGGCCAAACAAAAACGAAACACACAGCGCCTTCACGACATGGCGGCTGCGGCAACAACAATACTACAGCGAGAATAAAAGTTACGCCTTCTTTCTTTGCGTGAACATTTGGGCGGCGTTATGCAAATCTTCCCACATCGTGATGTAGATATGTGTGGGCGTGTTAGAACGAGGCGTGGTTAACTCTTAACTTTTATAAAGAATATCTCTTTGGATTTGAGACTTTAGTCTTTGCAACTATACAGATCTTCTTTATGCACCAAGAGCTTGTAACACTTCAAAGAGAAAGGAAAAATTTTAATCGCATCATATGACCCCATTAAGACATAACAGATTATGTTTGTGTGAATACTTAAATACTGTAATTCTGAGTATATTTATCAGGATGACTTCGGATGACAGTCAGCGCAAGAAAGGAGCAGAGAAAAGGTACTCCTCTCAGAAAACCAACAAATAAAGGTAATTAAACATCTAAATAAACCTGTCGCGATAATTAAATAACCGTCTAATCACGATTATTTGATCTAACCGCTAGAAACGGTTGTTTCAGACAACCGCGATTATTGTGCTTTTTATACGAGACAAGGGGGAGTCATACACCAAAAGAAACAGAAGAGCACCAGTTTGCTTTTCATGCACTGTATAGCCTATACAGGGCTCCAGACTCATTCTTCCCACTGACGTCACTCTTTTGCAACTAACTTTCTCAGCTGGTTGCACAAGCACATGATTTGGTCTCAATATATATATATTTTTTTTGCGCTACAACATGGGATTATTCAATGCATGCTGATTAACTTTTTTCATAGTTTATAGTTATATGGAAACGAAAGTGGTTAACATTCAACCCGTTCTTTATAATCAGTAGTATTATTTGTGATTTGAATTTTGTGAATGGGAGTTTCTCTTTTGCTGTGTTTGGATGCTTTCACTTTCGAATTCGCGATCTTGTTGTCACTGTTTTGCTTATATACATCTACACACCTTTCATTTTTTTAAGACTAAAACAAAAGATGGATTCATTGTTATTTTCATTGTTATTCTTAATTAAAAAGCACAACAACAATAAATCAGTAAGATACAATGACAAACTAGCTTACAAAACGTTTAACAAAAACTAATAAGATGGCATGACACACACCACATGCTGTATTATATACCGACTAATAAATTACAGAACGTTTAGCAAACACTGAGGAATCAAATGCATAAATAAAAGAGATCCTCCATAGCGTAATGTGAGGTAAACAGCAAAGATACGTTTTTTAAAAATGAAAACAAAAAGAAAAGTAAAACTAACGGTGACGGTGCTTGCATGTTCTCATCTTCCTTCTGCTGCAGCTGTCAGTCATTCTCCGCTCAGTATTCTAACAGCACGTCATGTTCATTATGACAGTCAGCACGGTAAAACTCTCTCTCCAAGATGATATATTTCCATTATAATACTTTAAGTTTAAGGAAGGAAGGAATTATCACAAACAGAAAGATTATTAGAAGCCTTTCTTTTTCTCATGATTTCTATCTTTGTAAGAATACAAATAGTTAACAGAATAAACATGTTTAAATTGTATAATGTGCACCAAAGATTCTTTTTCAAGATATTGTTTTTGCTGCTAAATTACACAGTCAGCTAGTTTAATTTCATAGCTTATATATTTTTATTCAAATGTTTTTCTCTGTAATGAGGAAGTGAGTATTTAGTGGATTGCGTTTAACAAAGGGTTTAAAAGAGTGACCATTAGTTCCACAAACACAGTATTGATATTCTGTAGTGGTGTAGAAAAAAAGTAGCGCTGGTGTTGGATAGGCCAATTCTTAGAATTTGGAATTCTCTATGTAATCTTACACTGCAAAATAATAACTCAAAAAGATTAAAAGATAACATCATAATTATTTACTGAACCCTTAAATTAGTCAATTATATAATGAAAGCCATAAAAACAGACAATTAATCGTGATAAGCGGCATAATCGCCAAAGCCCTAAAACGATTAAAACAATTAATCGCAATAACCGTGACTATTTTTTAGACAATTAATCGTCAGCCAAATTTCATAATCGTGACAGCCCTACATCTAAAATGATTATTTGGAGCACTGGGATCTCTAGACAAGGGTTTAATTAACTAATTTTTGTGAAAACCTCAAAACCGACGTTTTTTTGCCTGTAGCTCAAAATTAGCCCATGCACATTCCGACTCATTTTGCCAGCACGGGTCACAAATGTTATATTTAATCACCTCTCTTCTCTACAGCTTCAATGGTGAAGTTTACCTGGATATCTTCAATGTCTCAAGAAAGAGAAGAATGATAATAAATCATTCACCAACTTTGCATTATCAACATTAATCACTAAAGAACCATGCAAGTTGAACAACAGGGTAAAATTCATAGAGTAAAATTAGATTATTACTTTTGTCAGTCTTTAAGGGGTTTGTCTCCACCTCTGCTTGGAGTGTGATCTCTCTTCCTGTGAGTGGGATGATTTCCTGTGCACTCTGTAAAAAGCAGAAATAGTGCCCAATTAATTGTAGACTCATACTTTGCATTGCAAAACCAAGCTGTGGAAAGCAAAATGTCTCTCGATGCATGTTATCGACTCATTATTATGCTTTTGTAACACAGGCTTTCACTATTTGCATGCATGCTGCAAACCGCAACTTTTGTCGTTTGAACGACATAGTTCCTCAATGATTAGTTATGATGTCCTGGATGTTTTTACCATGTTGATGGGCTGGGGCACAAAAACCTCCTCTTTGATCTTTTTGCATGCAATCTGCTGCTCATCTTGCTCGGATTCACTGCGTCTCCTTCTGCTGCTCCTCACTTGCTTCTGTCCATTCTCCTTTTTTACTTTTACCACTCCTATGATGAAAGGAAAATTAACTAAATAATAACAAATAGTAATTCCTTTACATATTCAGTGTAGTCATCACATACGTTCGTTTTGCTGTACATGAAAGTTGTAGGGATGTGCAAAACTGCGAATTTTCATAATCAACCAGTTTTGTTTGTTTAATTAATGTTGCAGAATACTATTTACAAAAAACTTACATTTATAAAAAAACTTACAGACAGAACATAAAGAACAAACAACAGATTGCAGAAAGACACTTTACAAACCAACTAGCTAGCCAACCTCACTATTGACAACTAGTCAATTCGTTTTACACATCTTTTTCATTTTACACATCTCTAGTAAGTGGCTTAATAGTCATGTTGGATTGTTTTACCTTTGTGCACCCTCTGAAGGGGAAAACCCAAGATGAGTGGGGGTTTTTTTTCTATGCAAAGTATAAATTGTGTAAACTGCTTAAATATTGAAGATTTGGGAAATTAGTCTTACTTGCTATTATTATGGCAAACTGTTCTGTGAAATGTAAATATGTATATAAGAGTAATGTAATTTATGCGCTGAGGAAAGCATCTCTCAAGTGCATGAAACAGCACAAGCACTGTTATGGGCACCTGATGTAGTAAACAGCCCAAATTAAACCTATTTGACATTCAAGACAACTTAGATTATGTACAATATCAATGTGATTTGCTCTGTGGCCTCTTGTCATTTTTTCAAATGTTTTTTATGGTACTAACATGTTTTCAACTATTATAAATGACATCACATTCATCAGGTTTTTCATGCCACAGCGCACATATTCAACTAATCAAAAATTCTCATCCACCATCCACTCATCCACCAATTAACAGACCAAATAGAACATGCAACCTATACAGCTAGCTTATGAAGTAACGGGAACATTTTCGATGGTGGAATATTGCCACTTTAGACCGGAATATCTGCTGTAGATCAATCAAGCCACATGCTAATGGGAAAAATGCTATGAGCAAAGTTAGGGATTTATTTTTATGTCATTTTGTTAATTGGCGAGAAGTTTAGAGACTGAAGAAGCGTGAGAAAGAGCCTGAAAGTATAACTCACACAAAATGCGTGAAAGTTGGCAACCCTGTTAATATCCATATATTTTCCATATCTATTGGTTACCTTGTTCTTCTAGTGGTACGAGGCGGTAGACCTTGTAGGGTTCTGAGATGTCCAGCTGTGACCTTTCATTGACCTCACTAAACTCTGGACTTTTGTTGAGGGCACAGCGAAGTCGAGTTTTCCAGGATGCAGGGTCTGAATTTCCATTCTCCAAAAGCTTCCCTTTAAACTCCGCCCAAGCCTTCAATGGAAAAAGTTCAAATGAAAATTTCAATCAACAACTTTCAAATGGCTTGCACGCTCAAGTCAGAGGTCAGTCAGAAAGAGTTTTATTGCCAAGTATGTTTACACACACATGGAATTGGTCTTGGCGACAGGAGCTTCCAGTGCAGAAGAAAGTACAGACATAGTGCAAACATACATGATAGTGCAGACATACATAGAAATTACACAGTGGAGATGAAATATAACACTAATATAAGAAAAACAGAAAATTAAATAATGCAGTATAATACAGAAGTAGAAATATTGTTTTAATGAATGTACAGATATAGTTATTTAACAAATTTACACAGTACAGTTTATGAAGTTTACAAATGTACAATTTTTAGATGTGTCAGTTATAATGGACAATGTATAGTTATGAAAGTTTTAATTGTTCAGGCTGAATATAGCCTGTGGGAAAAAAAATGTATTGTGCCTGGATGTTCTGGTGGTCGTTGCTAGCACCGACCAGCGGGCAACAGTTGAAAGAGAGAGTGGGCTGGGTGTGTGGGGTCCAAAGTGATTTTCTTAGCCCTTTTCCTCACTCTGGAAGTGTAAAGACATTGGAGGTTGGGCAGGGGGAACCAATAATCTTCTCAGCAGTCCTGACTGTCTGTTGTAGTCTCTTGATGTCTGATTTGGTAGCTGAACCAAACCAGATAGTTATGGATGAACACAGGACGGACTCAATGATGGCTGAGTAGAACTGTTTCAGCAGCTCCTGTGGCACGCTGAATTTCCTCAGTTGGCGAAGGAAGTTCAACCTCTGCTGGGCCTTTTTAGCAATGGCGTCTACTGTATGTGAGTGTCCCACTTCAGGTCCTGAGAGATGGTGGTGCCCAGAAACCTGAATGACTCTGCTGCCACAGTGCTGTTCATAATGGTGAGTGGGGGGAGTGCATGGGGTTCCTCCTGAAGTCCACGATCATCTCCACTGTTTTGAGCGTGTTCAGCTCCAGGTTGTTGTGACTGCATCAGATAGCCAGCTCTTTAACCTCCTGTCTGTAAGCAGACTCATCTCTGTTGTATATGAGGCCAATGATGGTAGTGTCATCTGCAAATTTCAGGAGCTTTGCGGTGAATTTGTTCGTATACAGGGAGAAGAGCAGTGGGGAGAGCACACATCCCTGAGGGACGCCAGTGCTCCAGTGCTGAGTCCTGGATGTGAGTTTGCCCAGCCTCACTAGCTGCTGCCTGTCTGCCAGGAAGCTGGTGATCCACTGACCCACTGACATGGGCACAGAGAATTGGGTCAGTTTGTCTGAGAGAAGGTCAGGCATGATGGTATTGAAGGCCGAACTGAAGTCTACAAACAAGATCCTTGTGTCCCAGGTCCATCTAGGTGTTGCAGAATATAATGCAGTCCCATGCTGACTGCATCATCCACAGACCTGTTTGCTTTGTAAGCAAACTGAAGAGGATCCAGTGAGGGTCCAGTGATGTCCTTCAGGTCTGTAGTCAGCAGGTCTGTAGTCGTTAAGTCCAGTGATTTTGGCTTTTTTGGGGAACAGAATAATAGTGGAACATTTGAAGCAGCAGGGAACTTCACACAGCTCCAGAGATCTGTTGAAAGTCTGTGTAAAGATGAGGGCCAGTTGGTCAGCACAGACATTTAAACAGGCAGGTGAAACACCATCTGGGCCTGAAGCTTTCTTAGTCTTCTGTTTTCTGAAGACCCCGTTCACATCCTGTACATAGACCTTAAGCCCAGGTTGAATGGTAGGAGAGGGGGGGGGGGGGGGTGTGGGAAAAATGCTATGAGCAAAGTTAGGGATTTATTTTTATGTCATTTTGTTAATTGGCGAGAAGTTTAGAGACTGAAGAAGCGTGAGAAAGAGCCTGAAAGTATAACTCACACAAAATGCGTGAAAGTTGGCAACCCTGTTAATATCCATATATTTTCCATATCTATTGGTTACCTTGTTCTTCTAGTGGTACGAGGCGGTAGACCTTGTAGGGTTCTGAGATGTCCAGCTGTGACCTTTCATTGACCTCACTAAACTCTGGACTTTTGTTGAGGGCACAGCGAAGTCGAGTTTTCCAGGATGCAGGGTCTGAATTTCCATTCTCCAAAAGCTTCCCTTTAAACTCCGCCCAAGCCTTCAATGGAAAAAGTTCAAATGAAAATTTCAATCAACAACTTTCAAATGGCTTGCACGCTCAAGTCAGAGGTCAGTCAGAAAGAGTTTTATTGCCAAGTATGTTTACACACACATGGAATTGGTCTTGGCGACAGGAGCTTCCAGTGCAGAAGAAAGTACAGACATAGTGCAAACATACATGATAGTGCAGACATACATAGAAATTACACAGTGGAGATGAAATATAACACTAATATAAGAAAAACAGAAAATTAAATAATGCAGTATAATACAGAAGTAGAAATATTGTTTTAATGAATGTACAGATATAGTTATTTAACAAATTTACACAGTACAGTTTATGAAGTTTACAAATGTACAATTTTTAGATGTGTCAGTTATAATGGACAATGTATAGTTATGAAAGTTTTAATTGTTCAGGCTGAATATAGCCTGTGGGAAAAAAAATGTATTGTGCCTGGATGTTCTGGTGGTCGTTGCTAGCACCGACCAGCGGGCAACAGTTGAAAGAGAGAGTGGGCTGGGTGTGTGGGGTCCAAAGTGATTTTCTTAGCCCTTTTCCTCACTCTGGAAGTGTAAAGACATTGGAGGTTGGGCAGGGGGAACCAATAATCTTCTCAGCAGTCCTGACTGTCTGTTGTAGTCTCTTGATGTCTGATTTGGTAGCTGAACCAAACCAGATAGTTATGGATGAACACAGGACGGACTCAATGATGGCTGAGTAGAACTGTTTCAGCAGCTCCTGTGGCACGCTGAATTTCCTCAGTTGGCGAAGGAAGTTCAACCTCTGCTGGGCCTTTTTAGCAATGGCGTCTACTGTATGTGAGTGTCCCACTTCAGGTCCTGAGAGATGGTGGTGCCCAGAAACCTGAATGACTCTGCTGCCACAGTGCTGTTCATAATGGTGAGTGGGGGGAGTGCATGGGGTTCCTCCTGAAGTCCACGATCATCTCCACTGTTTTGAGCGTGTTCAGCTCCAGGTTGTTGTGACTGCATCAGATAGCCAGCTCTTTAACCTCCTGTCTGTAAGCAGACTCATCTCTGTTGTATATGAGGCCAATGATGGTAGTGTCATCTGCAAATTTCAGGAGCTTTGCGGTGAATTTGTTCGTATACAGGGAGAAGAGCAGTGGGGAGAGCACACATCCCTGAGGGACGCCAGTGCTGATTGTGAGAGTCCTGGATGTGAGTTTGCCCAGCCTCACTAGCTGCTGCCTGTCTGCCAGGAAGCTGGTGATCCACTGACAGATTGGGGTGGGCACAGAGAATTGGGTCAGTTTGTCTGAGAGAAGGTCAGGCATGATGGTATTGAAGGCCGAACTGAAGTCTACAAACAAGATCCTTGTGTCCCAGGTCCATCTAGGTGTTGCAGAATATAATGCAGTCCCATGCTGACTGCATCATCCACAGACCTGTTTGCTTTGTAAGCAAACTGAAGAGGATCCAGTGAGGGTCCAGTGATGTCCTTCAGGTCTGTAGTCAGCAGGTCTGTAGTCGTTAAGTCCAGTGATTTTGGCTTTTTTGGGGAACAGAATAATAGTGGAACATTTGAAGCAGCAGGGAACTTCACACAGCTCCAGAGATCTGTTGAAAGTCTGTGTAAAGATGAGGGCCAGTTGGTCAGCACAGACATTTAAACAGGCAGGTGAAACACCATCTGGGCCTGAAGCTTTCTTAGTCTTCTGTTTTCTGAAGACCCCGTTCACATCCTGTACATAGACCTTAAGCCCAGGTTGAATGGTAGGAGAGGGGGGGGGGGGGGGGGGGGGTGTATGTGTGAAGTGCAGATCAGAGCGGGTGGGGTGAGACTGGGCTATTCAAACCGGCAATAAAACACATTCAGATCGTCAGCCAGTTATTTATTCTCCACAAACTGTGGGTGTGGTGTCTTGTACTAGGTGATGTTCCACAGTCGCGACCGCCTAGTTTGCCTATGCCTAGAAACGGGCCTGCTTTGAACAGCACCGCACCACCTCCGACTAGAATGTCCAACAAAACTATTTTTAAATTGTAAATTATTTCTCATCAACATGTTATTTTTACTTCAGTTATGATTAGATGTCTAGAAGTCATCGTTTGAGTTTGCAAATGACTGCACTTTAGCCCCTTTCACACAGAGATTCCTGAAAAAATCAGAGATCGTTTGATTTTGGTTCATTCACACTGCCAGTGATTTTCTGGAATCTGTGTGTGCATTCACACACATCCCGTAAAGATCCCGTAAAGACACATACAATGTGACGCATACTGTTTGAGGAGCTCCCTGATCTCTGCTTCATACCAGTTTGCACATATTTTTTCGTGGTGAACGTTGATCTGCCTTCAAAATACCCGGTAAAAGAGTTGCACGATAACGTGCGTCATCACTACGACACACCCTTTACGGCATTGGTTCTGGCTTTTGTTCACACAGGGGTCATTCCGGGACGGATCCCAGCAATGTTACTAGGTCCCCAACACGGGATCGATCCCGGAATCAATCCCGGGACGTGTTTGTGTTCACTAATGCTGTGTTCAAAATATCGATACGACGATGTATCGTCACAGAGATTTGACGATACGAGTATCGATACAGCTGGCCCTGTATCGATACTGTGGCACGTGTGCAGCAGTGGACCACGCTTAATTTTACAACGTTTAAAATTTAGTAGAAAAGTGCTAGAGGTTTCTGCACCGATATGAAAATTTTGGCCGATACCGATAACCGATTATTCTTTATTTTTGAAAGCCGATAACCGATATGTTGGCCGACACACCCTTTACGGCATTGGTTCTGGCTTTTGTTCACACAGGGGTCGTTCCGGGACGGATCCCGGCAATGTTACTAGGTCCCCAACACGGGATCGATCCCGGAATCAATCCCGGGACGTGTTTGTGTTCACTAATGCTGTGTTCAAAATATCGATAAGACGATGTATCGTCACAGAGATTTGACGATACGAGTATCGATACAGCTGGCCCTGACAGTGTGAAAGGGGTTTAATTGTTTAAATTGCATAAGGTAGCACTCACACTTGGGAAGTTGTGCATTGTGTAAAAACTAAAAAAACAAAGACACAGAGAGAAATATAGAGACACATTTGCACCTTGAAAATAGCTGCATCTTCCTCAGTTCGGAAATCTTGTTTTCCTGCATGTTTCCATGGGATACGAAACATGGTTTTCTCAGGGTTGTCCCACACTAGGCCGTGATACTTCCCACTGTTCACCTACATCCCAAAGCACACACAAAATAGAGAAACAACCCAAAAGTCATCAACAACAAACAAAAACATACCATGAAGCACTAGTGGTTGTTATATGATAAAACACATTTGAAAGACAGCAAACTGCAGCAGGAAAAGAGCATGTCTCAAAACATGAGAGGTTTACAAGTAGGCTAATGCATTGCATGATCACCTCAATCACCCAGTCATCTGTCAAGAAATGTTCAGACTTCATGGATTCAACTTAGAATTTAGAAAAATTATGGATGAATCTGATCATGATAAACAGTAATGCTCTGTGCTACCAACTAACTGTGATTGACATGATCAATGAAATCTTTAGAATTGGCTGTGGGATGCAAAATTCTAACCTGTTAACATTTTAAGTTTTACAGATTGACCTTAAATTTACTGTAAAAAAAAAGAAAATAAATAATTATTAACTGAAATAATGTTAATATACCAAATTATTCAAATATTTTTTTATCTTCATATTAAACAAAACACAAGTGGTAAAAAAGAAAGCCATATGATGAATCAAAGTTCATCAAAGCTCACCGTGTCATTAAACCAAATACAAAACACCATCTAAAAATGGATGTTTCTGAGAGGAAAAAAAGTGCATCTAGTACAACATTAATTCATAAAGGATGCATGTCTCCAGTATAATCTGCCTCCTTCAGTTTAAGGGATATCTAAACTGCTCTCTAGGTAGGCAGCTCAATAGATTTGGAGCCAGTGGATCTCATTGCATGAATGGCTCTTCCATCTGATCTTCTGTATTAATACAATTCCATAAATTCAGATCCTCCGAAATACTCAACATAGTGCACACACACAAACACACACACACACACACACACACACACACACACACACACACCTACCTGTTCCACTATCCAGGAACGCAGGCGACGCGTGGAACGAATCCTTCCAGATGCCATCTGAAAAACACATTGATTGTCAACTGCTGCTTTGTCTTAAGAAAGTCAAGTAGCCTATATCATACATTGGCAGTTCACGGAAGTGAGTAATTGTCACAACTTCACTAATAAAAAGTACCTAAAAGTACCATGTTTTGATGTATTTAAATGAAAATAAATAAATACTCTAATTTTTCATTCCTTTTTGATTGGTCAGCCAAACTAATTAAAGAACTGCGAATCAAACTGGAACGAAAGTGGATTATAGTTTTAATATCTGACATTTTCAGCACCTATTCAGCAGTAACCAAACACAACTGATCAGTCTAAACTTTTGCTCTGGATGTTTCTTTAATCTGGCCATGGTCCCTTAACTTTTCATCTTACCTTATGAAAGTCCTCAATCTCTACCAGGACTCTTTCTTTCACTCTGTCTCGGGTTCTGCATATCAACTCTCTGTCAGTGCAGCAGTTTGAGAGACTTCTCTTATTTTTATATCATACAGCCAGTTTTTGTGCCAATTGTATCTCCACTAAGAAGAGAAAGTAAATGAGTAAAGTTTTTGAATTAATTGATGTATTCTGAGCACATTCATTTTGTTTTATATGTGGTTCAAAGATTTTTGGGCTTATGGGAACAACGGGGGCCATGAGAGTTCGTTGTAAGAAAGCACACTTGAGTCAAATTTTCTCAATTGTAATTACCCACAGATTATTCAATATTATTTAGACTCTAGAAGATTCTTAAATATTTTCAATTCATGTGGTAATCACCCACGATAGAAATCGCCGCCTGGTGCCCCCTTGGTAGTGCCCTAAGTAGGCTGCTCTCTCCGTGTATAGGGAGCGGCGGTCCTGATTTGTAAATCATTAACCATATAACGTATTAACGTTACCTCAACTGTACCAAGGTACCGCCACATTACTTTTTGTAAATCTTACAATTCAGCGATCTACTTAAAATCATATTTAACGATCTAACGTTACTAGCAACTCGTGAGAATGAAAATCAAATAGTAATACGACAAGGTATTTAATAATTTCAACAGTTACTTCTAAAATCATCCATTCCAAATCAATGTACCATCATAGCTGTGTGTTTAAATAAATTATCGGATAAAAACCGTATTTTTGTTTAAACTTTGTGAAAATACTTAGGCTATGTAGTTAGTTTGTTTGTAGTTTCGATTACCTCAGTTTCGGTCCTGTCTAATGTCAGCCGTTCTGGAGATCAGTCAGTCCAGCCCATCGCACTATCAATTCCTGAAAGCAAAGCAGTGGAACGACCGAGGCTGTTCAATATATAACTGCCATTTACATCTAGAGGGGGCGCTCGTCGGCTCACACCGTCGAGTTACCACACTATATTTTTGAATTTGTTAATTATTCATGAAATATGGAAATATATGTATAAGGTCAATGCGTTCTATTCAAACATTGCCAACGTTTACTGTAAAATAATTTTTAAAAAGTCCTCTCCCTTCGCCCCCCCCCCCTAAACGATAGTGATTGGGCCGACTTCACCAGCGATGAGAAAAGTCTTAAGTACCACGTGATGTTACTTACGGCCCACTCCCTCCGTAAACTACGCCACTTCCAGGTAATAACGCATATTATTCACTGCAACATGAGTAGGTGTTATGTAACATCTTTATTGAGCAAGCATAGCGTAGCAGATACAACTAACGCGAAACAGGACGATAAACCACGCCCACTTTGGTAAATTCATCCAGCCAATTTCCTTTCTGCCAGTTTCTTTCATTTCAAAAGAAGAGCCGCTCTTCCCAGAAATCACGTGATATTACGGAGCTCTCATTTAAGCTTCTAGAAGGCAAAAAAACTGATATACTGTAGAAGTGTGTTCATAATGTGATGCATTGTCCACAATATGTAGTAGAAAAATAACCAAAAGTTAAAATGAGAATGTAAAGTCTCAACTGAAACACTGGTTTTATACTTGTTTATACAGTTTTGATGTTTTTGAACCTACTGTGTAGTATTTTCCAATCATATTGTCATCATAACACACACACACACACACACACACACACACACAAAAAGTTAAAATGAGAATGTAAAGTCTCAACTGAAACACTGGTTTTATACTTGTTTATACAGTTTTGATGTTTTTGAACCTACTGTGTAGTATTTTCCAATCATATTGTCATCATAACACACACACACACACACACACACACATCCATGTAAATACTTTATTAGCATATTACTGTGTGGGAATAATACTATTAGAGGGAAATATATATATATAAAACTCAGGATAGTAGGCGAAATGCATGCATTTAGGCTTGGTAAACTATTTGGCAGGGTAAATAATGCATCTTTCTAAAAATCTGAGAAATTAATGGAGTACAACTAAATTTAAAGTCACCATGAAATCAAAAATCGATTCTATGTAACATCTTTATTGAGCAAGCATAGCGTAGCAGATACAACTAACGCGAAACAGGACGATAAACCACGCCCACTTTGGTAAATTCATCCAGCCAATTTCCTTTCTGCCAGTTTCTTTCATTTCAAAAGAAGAGCCGCTCTTCCCAGAAATCACGTGATATTACGGAGCTCTCATTTAAGCTTCTAGAAGGCAAAAAAACTGATATACTGTAGAAGTGTGTTCATAATGTGATGCATTGTCCACAATATGTAGTAGAAAAATAACCAAAAGTAAAAGTTAAAATGAGAATGTAAAGTCTCAACTGAAACACTGGTTTTATACTTGTTTATACAGTTTTGATGTTTTTGAACCTACTGTGTAGTATTTTCCAATCATATTGTCATCATAACACACACACACACACACACACACACACACACACATCCAAAATGAAATCCAAAAGGAATGTAAATACTTTATTAGCATATTACTGTGTGGGAATAATACTATTAGAGGGAAATATATATATATAAAACTCAGGATAGTAGGCGAAATGCATGCATTTAGGCTTGGTAAACTATTTGGCAGGGTAAATAATGCATCTTTCTAAAAATCTGAGAAATTAATGGAGTACAACTAAATTTAAAGTCACCATGAAATCAAAAATCGATTCAATTTGTTCATATCATTTTTTTATTGTGCCCTTGTAAACTTTAATCAATAACATTAACTTCCCCTGCCCCTTGCAATAACATCTCTTGTGTACATTTGCAAGAATGCGGAACAATCCAGGGACCCATCCAGCAACCTGCCACTCTCAGGAGATCACAGCAATATAGCAAATGGCAAAGAATCAATCAAGTCCCGCCCTACTTTTTTTTTTTTGCTCTCATTCAAGTAGCTTTTCACTTGGATATGCGTCACAATAGGAAAGAAAAACAATCACAACTTATATTTCATGTTGACTGTAATCTTGCATAAACATACAAATGATCAAATAAATAAAATATTTATTCAAATATAGGCTAACTCTAACTGTCTCCTTTGTTTGGTGTCAAGTCTTGTTTCTGTGCCACCCTACCATGTGTCCACAGTCTTTGACCCTCATACATATTGTGGTTTACCAAGCCAAGTGTTCGTTGTTCTCTGGTTTTGAACCCGACCTGTTTGTGTGTGGGTTTGGCATTCCGTTGTTGGTTTTCATCATGCTTTTGGATCCACATATCTGAGTCTACTCTCAAAGCTGGTGAAGATGGTGAAGACACCATAGCTGCATGTGTCTCATTTCAAAGGCTGTGTCCTAGGTAGGATACGCAACCTTCTGTCATGTCACAATTATGTTGTTTTTGTGGCATATGGACCTGCCTGAGGTTTATGAGTAGACTCGCTCCCTTGGTCAAAATCAAGGGTTCCAGGATCTCTCCATATAAACCTCCCTCATACACTTGACAAAGTGGATCACTTCAAAATGGTGAGGATGAAGTGCTTAGGGCTCCCTAAGGGGAAGTGCTAAGAACTTTGCAAGTGTGTGTCTAACAGCAAAATGTAATGTAGCCAGTATTGACTGTTATTCCTTGTAAGGCGTGATTAATGTAGTTTCATTCTTACTTTGGAATATAATGGTTGCTTTTCTGAAATGAGACAGCCTTGATGATGCAAGAAATGAGACACAGCTCACTACAGCTCTCGCCCACACTCTCAAACAACAGAGCGAGTCTCTCGGTTGCTTGCTCTGCTATGGGAAATCAGTGTTTGTTGCTGTATTATGTTTGCGTTGATGTGCACTATGCTTATGCTTATGTTTGAGATCATGTGGTGTATGTCGACTCATGTTAAATATTTAAATTTAGATTATTTGCATGTCTCAATTTCAAATGAGTGTGAAGTTATCCAGCTCAGATGTTGTCCAGAGGTACAGAACTATTTATCTTATTATTATTTTTCTAAGGAGTAATATTTGTTCTCATTTTTATATCATATACATTTTAAAGTTCTGACATGTTCTACACTGTAAAAAAAGGGAAAAAAAGAAAAGAAAATGTACTGGTAATTTTCTTCCAGGACATTATCCAGTCATTTTATGGACATTTCAGTTAACCATTAAGTTAAAGGGGTCATATGATGCGATTTCAAGTTTTCCTTTCTCTTTGGAGTGTTACAAGCTGATTGTGCATAGATAAGATCCCTGAAGTTGCAAAGACTAAAGTCTCAAAACCAAAGAGATATTCTTTATCAAAGTTAAGACTCTGCCACGCAGAGAGAGGTGTGTGTGTGTGTGTGTGTGTGTACGTGCACGTGTGTGAGAGAGAGAGAGAGAGAGAGAGAGAGAGAGAGAGAGAGAGAGAGAGAGAGAGAGAACACAGGGGAGAGACCAAATACACAAAATAATGATCTTTAAAAAAGCATCATATGACCCCTTTAACAAAATGAAGTGCAACATTCAAAATACAGGTAAAGCACCTGGACATAAAAAAATATGGAGAATTCCTTCATATTAATACAGTACATTGTGCTCTATTTAATTATTTTATTTTTCCCAGATTTTTGACAGTGTAAAGTTATATATATATATATATATACAGTGGGGGAAAAAAGTATTTAGTCAGCCACAAAAAAACTCACAAAAATCGAACCTTTCATTGGATAATACGAATTTAAAATGGGGGGAAATCTCATTATGAAATAAATGTTTTCTCAAATACACGTTGGACACAATTATTGGCACCCCTAGAAATTCTTATGAGGAAAATATCTCCGAAGTATATTCCCATTCATGTTCACAATTTTGAGCACTCCAGGGTGATTATGAACATGAAATTATCCAGCCACGGCTTCCTGTTTCACAGGAATATAAATAGGAGGGAAAACAAAGCCCAAATTCCCTTAATCATCCATCACAATGAGAAAAACCAAAGAATATATTATATATACATTATATATATAAAAGAAGTAAGAAGACGTTTACTATAAAATAATTGTATTTGTATTTAATACTCCCTTTTATTTTTAAATATAATAGTATTATCACACTTTATTATTTTGTTTATTGTTTTATAAAAAAAAAACTAAATAAAGTGCAATAATATTATCACTATTATTAATTTATTTTTTATAGTTATATTTATTGGGTCACACGATGTCACACTATGTGCAGTATGAGGACCAAACCAAATATCCAGGTTCTCTTATGAGAACCAGGCTGAAAAACTTATGTGCACCCCTTTTAATAACACATTTTTCTGTGGTGTGACAAATTCAGAACACATTTAAGTGAAGTGAAGTGAAGTGAAGTGAAGTGAAGTGACATGTGGCGAAGTGAAGGAAGACGTTTACTATAAAATAATTGTATTTGTATTTAATACTCCCTTTTATTTTTAAATATAATAGTATTATCACACTTTATTATTTTGTTTATTGTTTTATAAAAAAAAAACTAAATAAAGTGCAATAATATTATCACTATTATTAATTTATTTTTTATAGTTATATTTATTGGGTCACACGATGTCACACTATGTGCAGTATGAGGACCAAACCAAATCTTATGAGAACCAGGCTGAAAAACTTATGTGCACCCCTTTTAATAACACATTTTTCTGTGGTGTGACAAATTCAGAACACATTTAACATTGCTTTACACAGACTCTAACACTATATGTTTGGTTTAGGGTTTATTGTAGGTAGTATGTTATTTTTGAAAAGCAATGAACCATTAATTTTATAGCAACCACTCACTGGACAAGTCGCCAGAATCACATTCATCTGTTCTGGATAAAAGTGA